ATATATATATATATATATATATATATATATATATATATATATATATAGTGTGTGCATACGTGTGTGTGTGTGTATTATATATACATACACATAGATAGCTAGACATAGATATATGTGTGTGTGTGTATATATACAGTATATAGTATATATGTGTGTGTACTTTTTTTTTACAAAAAATAATAAACAAACAGTATAAAAGACATCTAAACACCTCTTAGATAAATAAAACTAAATCAGTATATTTCAGATGCAAAATATTTAGTTATTTGTTAATGATATAGTAACAGAAGTACAATATGTGCACCTGTGACCTCTCCCAATTTTATCATATACAACCTGGCAAGTGCAGACATGGTGTAATCATGCCCATAAGACACAGACACACCCACCTCTATCAGCACTACCCACTCCTGCTCTCAGGATAGTCTTTCACACTCTCTCACACACACACACACACATACAATGCACACGTTTATGCACAAACAAGACCTCTTTACCTCTGTGATGATGAGATCCCTGGCTTTCACGCATCCGTTCCCAGCTGTTTTCTCCATTTGTAATGAAGGTGAACTTTTACAACCATAAATTATGTGTTAGTGACATCTAAACCATCCCAGCAGGATCTGGTTATCTTGTAACACAGCCACTGTCACCTCTTTTTTTTCTGATTAGGACAAACCGCCAACAACATGCAATAGATTCATCCAAGCACACATAAAAGCACGCAGCTCTGGGATCAAAAGCTCCGATCAAGAAAAAGCACTATTTTGCTCATAAGAATGATCGTTGACACTCTCTGTCTTTGCATGTAAGATCACAGCTAGGTAAATCAAGACGCCCGAGCTGGGAAAAAAACACATGGTAGTTTCTCGCACCACACCGTTCTGTCAAAATCCCTGGGCTCTGTTCATATTGCCCTGCCCCGAGGGTGAGCTGGATCTGTTTGAATTAGCTAGTTCATAGCAACAACAACCAACAGGGTCAGTCGCACACGGTGTCTAAAGACCTCGACTGCCCACGGGCGATAATTCAAGCTGACATGTTGTCTTCTGGTGAAAATGATAGCCAATTTCAAATTCCAACCTCAGACGCACAGTGCGAAAAGAACAAAACCTGTTTTTTAACAACACGTTTTGCTCGTCACAGAGTGAGCTGGGGTGAATCTTGTTTTTTGTCATTCGTGGAAAGCCAATGTATTGTTCTCAACCCAGGAGTCACTTATTAAGAATATTGTAATGACACTTACATGCATTTTTACTTTCATTAGTCAATCTCCTCCTAAAAATATATGACAATAAAAATGCACTTTTTGGTCCATCTGATCAGAAATATCTTAAACTAAATCAAATATAAACGAATCTCAACATATGTTTATTTTAAGACTAAATAGTCGCCCATTAACTGAATGCTGCAACTATTTCCATGACATCCTGAAAAACCCTACTCTTCCTACGGCTAAGTATTCCTGCTTTTGGACTCTTCTAGAATGAGAATTTCCTTCGAAGAGACAGAAATTAGGAAGTAAGTCAAGGCCGGAACTGGAAGCCACATTTCCACTGCACAATGTGCGGGAGGAGGGCCATTGGAGAAAGAGTCATGTCCTTGCCAACCCCTCAGATTTTCCAGAGGGGATAGTGTGTGCTTTTTTATCTTTCGGAAAGATTAATGCAGTTAATAAAGCGAGCCATCAGAGGTCCGTAGCCCCGGCTCTCGGACGAATGTTTTCTTCACACAGGAAAGAGAAAGCAGAAAGCAAGCAATTGTATGTGAATGAATGGTTCAGATGAAAGATAATAGGAAAGAGGGAAAAGCGTAGCAGAGAGGAGGGGAGGAGGAAAGGAAGAGGGGGAGGGGAAGCCAGAATACTGTACGACAGCCGAGCGAACGCTCGCTCATATATTGCCGCAGATTTCCGTGCAACACTTTCACGTGTGGCCCCATGCAGAAGGTAAACGCTTACCTAATGGCAAGCCTTTGTTCAGCAGATGTGAGCTTCCCATCTCTTAGGATCCGCCGGAAAAACGAGCGTGTCTCCTCAGCAAGGCATTCACCAAAATCCTCAGCATATGGCAGCTACTTCAATTTTCTTATTCCTTCTTTTCTGTGAGTAGCTATCTTAAGCACACGCGCTCGCGCTCACACTCACACCCCTCCTTGTCTTTCTCTTTCTCTCTAACTCCCTCTCCCC